GATGGACACAATATCTTTATTTAGTTTTTTGTTTTTGTTTTTGTTTGTTTTTTTTGTGGTGCTGGAGATTGAACCCAGTGCCTCACATGTGCTAGGCAAGCGCTCTATGCTCTACCATTGAGCCACAACCCCAGCCCATAGGTATAATTTTAAATTACATAGGCATATGAGATATATTCAGGGATCTTGTCTCTGTAGAACAGTATATTTCTTGAAAAAAATTTCCCTGACATCAATGATCTAACACCTGAACCAAAGATAGAATCAAACCTCTATAATTACTCTAATTTCTAGAAAGGTTATTTTTATTATAAAGAACCTAATAACATTATGCATCTCTTTTACAAAACAAAAATTAGAAGACATGTTCTCTACCCTTAAGAAATAAAATCTTTCTGGGAGAAGTGGTGCACATTTGTAATCCCAAAAGTTTGGGAGGCTGAGGCAGGAGGATCACAGTTTCAAAGCCAGCCTGAGCAACTTAGCAATGTCCTAAGCAACTTAGTGAGATCCTGTTCAAAATTTTGAAAAATAGGGCTAGGGTTGTAGCTTAGTGGTAGAGCACTTGCCTAGCATGTAGGAGGTACTGGGTTTGATCCTTAGCACCACATAAAAATAAATAAATAAAATAAAGGTATTGTGTTCATTTACAACTAAAAAAAATGTTTACAAATTTTAAAAATAAGTTTAAAAAGGGCTGGGGATGCTGGGGATATAGGTCAGTTGGTAGAGTGCATGCCTGCATACACAGGCCCTGGGTTCAATCCCCAGCATCAAAACAAAAACAAACAAACAAAAAAAGGGCTGGGGATGTGGTTTAGTGATTAAGTGACCCTGGGTTCAATCCCTGATACAAAAAGAAAAAGAAAAAGAGAGAGAAATGAAGAAATAAAACCTTGATAGAAGGGCTGGGGGATATAACTCGGTTGGTAGAGTGCTTGCCTTGCATGCACAAGGCCCTGGGTTCAATTCCCAGCACCAAAATAAAATAAAATAAAAACAACATAAAACCTTGATATAAAACCTAGATTGTCACAGAGGACCCTAAACTTCAGGAAGGAATATAGCTCAGGAGGCAGATGCCCTGTCATTTCAAAATAAGGTTCTTGATAATAGTGAAATTGGGAAGGATCAATGTGTAATAAATGCCATAAATCAACTGCAGTGGTCACTTTAAAAACAAACCCACAAAGAAAGAAAGAAAGACAGCAAACAAAGACTGAGAACATGTAGGGATTCTCAAATTCAATTATTGGCGTCATTATAGTAATTTAAGCAAAATAAAGCTTTGGACCAGGAGCTAGATTTGGAACCAAGAAAGAAGAAAAATTGTGTAACATGACACAAGAAAAAATCTGCAGGACTGGAAAAAAACAACAACAGCATCTTTCAGACAGAACAAATGTAAGTCTGTAAAAAGCTCACTACAATGTCATTTCCTAATTTGTCCATTGACGGGTCCAACTAACACAACTATATTTCTTATCAAAACCATAACCCTGAGTGTTTCTGCACCATGTTTTAGCCAGAAAATCGAGAAGTTGTGCTCCATTTGTGTATAATATGTCAAAATGCATTCTACTGTCAGGTATGACCAATTAGAACAAATAAAAACCAACCAACAAACAAACAAACCACAACTTCTTGTCTACTGATCAGAAATATGAAATGGCATTTCATGGCCTGCCTCAAAAACACCCTCTCCAACCCCTTAGTAGAGTGTTTGAGGCTCTATCCCAGTTCTCTCTGACTCTCCTTCCTCTGGGCTCTTGGAAGTCCTCTTATTTCAAGGTCCAGGACTAGAATAGGTTGCCCTATCACAATTTCCTTTGTAAAATGGCACAGTATTTACATATACCTTTATGTACCCTCCCATATACTCTAAATCATCTCAAGATTATTTATAACACCTAATACAGTATAAATGTCATTTGTTCAGATGCAACTTTTTCAATATATTCTTCAACATATTTCAATCTGAGGTTGGTTAGATCTTGTGGATGCAGAATCCTTGGATACAGAGAGCTTGGATACCGTGAGGAAGAGATTCCATCCAGCTGTGTTTTTTTCACATTGGAGTAAGTGACTCATCTAAGGACTAAAGATTGTTGTTGGGACTTGGGTGACCCTCAGAAACTGTAGAGTTTGTCTACAAGCTAGGTTCAATGGAGTGAGGAATCTGAATCTTTTGAAATTTCAAAATAAAAACTCCAGGGGTTTTTCTACTTCAGAAAGAAGCCAGGAATGAGCAAACAGCTAAGTAACAACTATATTATCAAGTAAAGCATGAATAATACTCTCCTCCCCCATTTAATTTCTTAGCCTTAAAAAAAAAAAAACAGACAAGCTGGGGATAATATGCATGCCTGTAATTCCAGCTACTTAAGAGGCTGAGGCTGGAGGATCACAAGTTCAAGGACAGCCTAAGGAACTTTTATGAGATCCTGTCTAGGGGGGAAAAAAGCTCTAAAAGATATTTCAAGGTGTTCCTGGCTTCAATCTCTCATGCTGCAAACAAACAAACAATAACAACAAAAAACTGCCTTCTAAAACAGCAAAGAAGAGTTGAGTGACTACATTCCCTTCTAAAGACTCTCTAGGGCAACTAGAATCTCAAGGGATTACTGCAAGGAAAATACAGCAGCCTTGGGGCTGTGCTGGGTCCACAGATGCCTGAAAAACCTAAGGAAGATCACACCTGGGCAGAGCTCTCCCCTCATGCAGCTCCCCTCCCAGACTGGAAGGAGCATAAGCAGCTCCCAGGAAACCAGTGTTGCTTCTGTGGTAACAGTTCCTAGGTGTGAAGAGCATATACCTCCCCAGCTCCTTCTAATCCTTTCAGAATCTCTTCAGTGCCATGACACTTTACTGCTAGGTGCCAGGCATTGTGCATAGCCCTGGGAATAAAAGGGAAAAAGTATAACAAAGCCTAAGCTTTGTTAGGTCATCACAGTAAGGTACTCTCTTCTGGCTTAGCCTGTGAATTATCTTTAAACTGTGCACTCCTGTTATGACAAGTCTATCATATGCCTTATTTCTGAATTAACTCCAAGAGGAGTTAGTGCAACTCCGTCTCTTCAGGCTTCTGAGGCTTGTACCCCCTACTTTTCTGCAAAGAACATCTTAGCCATCTTGGTTTTTCTAGCACCTGGCAGTGCTCCAAAAAGTAGAATGAACATAGTTGGAGGATGAGAGTACTCCTAACTTTGCAGATAGAGGCTACAAAATTGCAGAGTCAACATTCCACAAGAGGAAAAGAAAAGAAAGTTTGAAAAACAAATGCATGGCTGGGCATGGTGGCACGTTACCTGTAATCCCAGCAACTCAGGAGGCTGAGGCAGGAAGATTGCGAGTTCAAAACCCACCTCAGGGCTGGGGATGTGGCTCAAGCGGTAGCGCGCTCGCCTGGCATGCGTGTGGCCCGGGTTCGATCCTCAGCACCACATACAAAAACAAAGATGCTGTGTCCGCCGAAAACTAAAAAATAAATATTAAAAAAAAGTTCTCTCTCTCTCTCTCTTAAAAAAAAAAAAAAAAAAAAAAACCCACCTCAGCAACTCAGCAAGACCCTGTCTCAAAATAAAATATTAAAAAAAGAGACACTGGGTTCAATCCCTGGTACTAAACAACAACAAAACCCAAATGCATATTGCATCTTTTTCTTTGCCTCATTCTTCCTGAAGCTGTTGGATTTTTTGTTTTTGTATTATTATTATTATTTTATTTTATTTTTTTGCAGTGCTGGGAATGGAACCCAGGGCCTTGCATATCCCTCTACTATTGTGCTACACCTTCCAGCCCCTGGGGCTGCTGTTTACCTGGCTTTATAATCCATCTTTATGCATTCATAAAGGGCTGTATAGTCTGCCCTACAGATCCTAGTTCCATCCCTAAGGAACAACCTTCACCTCAAAACAGGCCCCTTAGAGTTACAGTCTCATCTTCCAAAATGTCTTCAGTCCTTTCCTATTTTCTAATAATCCCAGCAAGCCCCAAACACAGTGAACTATCTTGTGAAGCTGACTTCACCAATTCTGTCTGACAAGTGGTGGATGGAGGTAAATGGGCAGGTGGTCTTAAAACTTGCTTTGATTTTTCCCATTGCAACTGGAATAAAATCCAAAGTCCTTACTGAGACTTGTAGGCTCCAGCTGTAATCAGGTTCCAGTCTTTTTCCAAACTCAACTCTTTCCCTGGCTCTCCTTGACCAGGAACTTTCTCTCCCTGGATCCCAGGACCTCTGAAGGTTCCATCCCTTCTCCAGGGCCTGCCTTCTCCATCTGGCATCCCACAATATGCCTTCCTTTCCTTACAGCTTTACCAGAATATATACTTCTTTATACTTACTTTCTCTCCCCCAAACCATGAACTTGAAAGCAAAGATTATGTCAGCACCTGGTTTAGTGACCTGCACTTAGTAAATGTCCAATAAATATTTGCCAAATTCATTTAAAAAAAAAAGGCGGGATCCTCCATCTCCACCCATCTCCCTCACAAATCCTTCTCCCCAAAGCTCTGAATGGTTCCCACACAAATTCACCCCAGTTTAACTTCAGTCTTCTACACAGACTTGCTGAACCCCTTTCCCCACCATTATCTGCCCTCCAAATTTGCCATCCTGTTAAATCCCACCAACCGATCCATTTAGACGTTCGTTCGCCCTTCAACAATCCGGACTGAGTGTACCCATCTCTCGGCCCTTCCCTCCCTCCAGTAACCCCTAAACTCTCTTTCACTATACACATCCCTCTCGCTCCAGGACCCAGCTCCTTAAATCCTTCACCCTCTGCTTAGTCCCATAAGGCCCGTCCAACCCATTCCATTTTATTCCCCTACATCCCTCGTCCTTGGAAACCTTCAGGCCTTCTCAAGCCCCCATATTTGTCTGCACCTCCTCCGCACCCAGATGTTGGTGCCAGTCCCCTTCTCGCCCTAGTTGCCCCAGTCCTCCTCCTCGGCCCGCCCCGTTCAGTGGCCCCCGACAAGCCCGCAAGGAGCACCTGGCCTGCGCCTCGTCCAGGCTCTGGTCAGTGATGGCCATGATCTGCTGCAGGACGTCGCTCGTGTCAGGACCTGGCGGAGGCCCGGGAGGCGGGTGGCGCGGGGCAGGTGGTGGCTGCGCGGGGCTAGGCGAGCGCAGCGGGGCGTCCATGGGCGGCACGGCCAGGCGGGAGCTGAGGAGGAGCCGCTGGGCCTGGAGCGCTCGCGCGGGCGGCGCAGCCAACCGCCGCTGCCTATGGACTCCGCCCCCTTCGCTGGCAGCCAACCACATGCCGCTGCGCACCTTGAAGACACGCCTCCACGTCGCCGTCAGCCAACCAGGCTCCGTGCACCGCCCCCATGACACGCCCCGAACTGACCCCTGCCAACTGCCCAGGACGTGCTCGGGTGTTGCGGAGGCACTTCCCACTCTCACCCTCTTCCAATCTGAGTTAGTGCAACTCCGGCTCCTTTAGGCTTCTGAGGCTTGCACCCCCTATTTCTCCGCAGTACATGCATTCTTCTCAGAGTCCCCGCTTCTCCACCGAGAGCCCTCAGGGACCCCACTTCTCAAGAATCCCGTTCCTCCAGACGCCCCCGCAAATTCTCAGAACTTTCTCCTGAGACCCCACTCCTCAGAGACCCTCACATCTTCTTAAAGCTCCCACTTCCTTAAAGTCTCCAGTTCCTTTTCAGGCCCCCACACTCTTCCTCCAAGTCACTTCCTCCTTAGAACCCCTCCACACCTCTAAGAGCCTCAACGACACACCCCAAATCCATGACCCTTGCTGGGTTCCCTTTTGCTCCCCTCAGTCTCAGTCCCATCAGGTGAGTCACTAGGGTTTCTGGCTCTTCCACTGGAGCCTTTTATGTCCCTTTCACCTGGCAGAGGGACCCAGGTGTGTGTGTGTGTGGTCAGCCAGGTCAGAAGTGTGTGCTTTTCTCCACTACAGAATTAATTTATTCATTTTCCAAGATACAGCTTATGAGTGACCTTGCCTGTTTTTTTTTTTTCTTCAGAAGAATCGTTTTTATTATTTATTTTGGTGTATCTATTTATGGGATACGTTGATCATATATTTATAAACTAAAAAGTTATTTCCCAAGTGTTGGAAAATAAGGAGAAGCCTCCCTACCACCAACTGTTCAATGATTATCCTTGTCATTTAGAATCATGCTAACTCCCTAGCCGTATCCTTTCCACATAACCTTACCTGTTTATTCATTCTTTGTCTACAGCATTCTGGGCCTGGAAAATGCTAGCACATGGTTACTGGATGATGATATGCTGAGTGCCTCCCCCACAGTTGCACTCCAAATTGAAGAGAATCATCACAGGTCTTTGTTTCTAGCCTTTAGAAAAGGATTCTCAAGTGAGGAAAAAGGAACAGAGTGGATGTGAACACCTTCTCTAAATTCATTCCCAGTTTGATCTGAGGACAGACTTCAGATGCAGGCTCAGTAGAATCCTCAGCCTTGATGGGAAACCTCAGGACCAGGGGCAATCTTCTTCCCATTGTTGCTGGAGAGGAAATTCAAACATCATGTGATGTGACTGGATTGCAAGACACTCCACAGGGGATGGAAATGAGTCATATTGGCCTGGTGTAAGAACAACAAGGAAAGCGTGCGATGAAGGAAACACAACGCTTGGCCCCAATAACAGGAGGTAATAGAACACATGGAGGCCACATAGTGGTGCCTCATACAAAAGGTCACTCTCTGATGCAGAACTACACAGGAAGCCTGATAAGTAGTGGCCTTCAGAGAACACTGGGGCAGGGGCACTGAAAGCTTCAGGGACCAGCAGAAATAAAACCTGATGCCACCTGGCAGAGAAGAGAAACCAAGAAGGAAAAGCTGATAGCACAAAGTTCTAAGGGAGAACTTGGAGGATGATGATTAAAAAGTAGCCAGAGCGTGAAAGAGTTGATTTTGGAGGTCATCAGGTGTGCCCAGCCTGTAGGAATTGATTGGCTGCCTCAGAACCCAAAGTAATGTCTGTCCATTAGGCCTGGAGCTTCATGAAGGCAGGGCCTGCATCTTTAATTGGCATATATCTGGATGAGTGCCTGGGTAGTCACTTCTGGAAGCCCTAAGAGCTGTGATATCTACTTGAACCCTTGAGAAGAACCAAGTATCTTGGTTTATTCTTGGTTCTTCACAGAAGAGGGGATAAGTTCTCCCAGTGGGAAACCTAGATCCATTTAATGTAGAAGGACCTAGATGTTTTTGGCTCACCTGAAATGGATGTTTTTTAATGGTTTAAGACTTTGGCTCCTCACCAGGCATGGTGGCACATGCCTATAATCCCAGCTGAGGCAGGAGGAGCACATGTTCCAAGCCAGCCAGGACAACTAAGGAAGACCTGCCTCAAAAATGGTGGGGGATGTGGCTCAGTTGCAGTGTACTTGCCTCCCATGCACCAGGCCCTGGGTTCCATCCCTAGTACTCAGACAAGAAGAAAAGAATTTGGCCTCTGATGAGAGCTGGATTCAAAGTCCTGCTGTTATTCAGCATGTGAATCTGAAGTAGGAATATAACCCTGTCTCCTCACTGGTGAGGTAGGAACAACCCAGTTCTAGGCTCATTGTGCCTGGCAGGGTGCCTTTCTGGACACTGAGATGGGGCTCAACATGGGCATGGTACATCTGAGGACTTGGGTCTGTGGGTGAGAGGGGGAGTATCCAGCTGAGTTTTGACTAATTCCAGGCTTTGTGGGAATCTGAAGCCCTTTCTCCAGGCTTCCTCTAGTCTCTTGATGCAGTTCTCTGCCTTATCCAAACTGTGTAACCATGGGCCAGATCTCAACCTCTCTGAACTACTGTCCTCACATGAAAATAAGTATAACTCATGAACTACAAGATGCAGGTGATGGTTAAACAGTGCACCTAAAGTGCTTGTAAATGTGCCAGACAGCAAAGGAACATGAAAAATGGCAACTCTCCAATTCTGCATCCTGCTGAGTGGAACTCACTAGGTTAAATGTAGGTGGTGAGACAGGTGAGGAGATGGAGACAGCTGTACATGTGATCTTCAACAGTCTGGACTGACAAAAGGATAGGTGGCAGCAAGAGGGCTCACATAGACCACAGACCACCCCAGGCTGCAGAAGATGAACACAGGGAGGGGGACAGATAGAGAAAACAATAACACCACTAGGAAATAGAAGCAAGACTGGAACAAGAGAGGCAGAGTAACAGCTAGCCAGTAACCGAAGAGGAAGGAGAACAGGGCTGAGGAGATGCCATGTTGCCTAATAGGCTTGAGCCTTGATACACAATTTCAGGACACAGGAACAGACCGATTGAATTGGTGACAAAAATGCTTTGGAGACCTTAGAGTGGAATGGTTTACTCCCTGATTCATGTCCTCCCTGTGGATCCTGGATCCCCTCAATACTAACGGAGATAGGCCAGCCTCTGCAAAGGTCCACAAGCCTTTCCCAGTTTATGCTCAGCACCCCTCAGGCTGTGCTGCTAAAAATTAGCCTCAGAAAGATATTGTGTCCACAGTCCATCCCTGTTATCCTGTCACACTGGGCAGCATAACCTTGGAGGGCCTTCATCTCCTCTACTTTTCCCACTCACAGCACCATATAGGAGAAACCAGTCCACAGGGTTTACCAGGGATGTGCAGTAAAAGTACAAAAATGTTCTGTTAAAAAACCCTAAAACCTGAGATGATTGAAGAGCCAGATTCCCAGACACCATCTGAGTCCTCCCAGGTGCTTGGAGATGTCCCCAATTCCCAGGATCCTGGAGCATGCAGAGTTGTGTGTGCCTGGGGAGTGCTGCTGTGCTATGCCAGACCATGGGTCTGTCTTTAAGTCTGTCCTGCTGGTTGGGACAAGCCAGGTGTATCCATGAGTTGTCAAAGAGCTGCATCCTGTCCAAGGTAGCTAAAGAGTGGAGTCCATCAGAGAGTGACCATTCTCAGGAAGCATGATGCGGGTGCTGGCACCTGTCCGGGCAGATGATGTATAGTGGGCAGACTTGTGGGAGGACCGGCGGAGGCACATACAGCAGAGTAGGCGACGGAAGGTGCGGCGCATCTCAGCATCTCGGCATGAGTATACTGCGGCATTGACCAGTGAATTGGACTCAGCCAAGAGCAGGAAATACTTCTCCACAGCCAGGACATTGCAGGACTTGCAGTCCAGACCATCCAGGAGCAGCACCACCTGGCCGGGTGTCCAGCAGACCACAAATGCCCCTGCAGGATGGAAGCCAAAGTGAGCAAAGCAAGGTGTCAGGAGGCCTGACACTCAGGGCTAGGGCAGTCCCCAGAGCTCAGGCCATAACTGTGCAGTATGTGTTCCAAGAGCTGCCTGTCTTGCTGGCTTGGCAGTGTGGCAGTCAAAAATGCTAAGAGGGGATACCTTTCTCTGATTTGTCTGACTGAAGGGATGTCTTTCCAAGGTAGTCAGGCCCCTGGAGGCTTCTATATGGAGATTTGTTCAATGAGGGAAAGGAGGTTACTGTGGCAGGATGGGTAGGGTGGCGGATAACTGGAAAGAGTTAATCTTTGTTCAGGGGTGGTAGAGTATACCAGTTCCTTCTATATACAACTGCCCTGCTAAGAACAAAATCTGGCCCTGTTTGGGATCTTCAAGGCCTTCCTGATCTTCCCTTTCCTTGCAGGCTAACCACATGGACTCTGGTCTGGTCTTGCTCTCGGGTTTGTACTTTCTGTTTTCTCTCTTGGAGCTCAAGAACATCCCCCACCCAAACTATGCCCTACCATCAATTCAATCAGGTCACCTATTCAAGTCATTGTTTTGCAGGAAACAATGGTTAGGTTAGGTCCCAGTGGCCCAGGGCAGGTTGAGTGTCTCACTCACCGAGGATGATGACAACAGTCTTGACCAGGCTGAGTGTGGTCTCTCGGTAGCGGGGGTGGCAGCTGACATGCTCGGCCATGCGCTGCACTCGCCTACGCACGTAGAAGAAAATGCGGGTGTAGACAGCTACCATGAGCAGGAAGACAAGCAGGCTGGATAGGGCCCACACAGCTAGGTAGGAGCGGCTGAGCAGGGGAGCCATGCGTGAACAGCGGTCCAGGGCACAGAGGCAGTGCCAGGAGTGGGCAGGCAGCAGTCCTAGGCCCAGTGCCGCAACCCACACAACCACAATGAGCATGACAACCCGGCCACGTGGCAGGCGGCTGTGCAACT